AATGCAAGGATAACGTTTTTATGCTAACATTTTTAGAATGTTTATCAATGGCGGATAACGTTAAGAAAACATTCTACTAACGTTACTGCAAGAACGTTTTTGATAACTTTGAGAGAACCTTTAAAGAACATTAGCCAACGTTACGAGAATGTTCCCTATTAGCTGTCAGCAGTTTTGCTAAATTGCAGCTAGTTTAATAGCGACAAAATTGATAAAGATCCACCACTTTTCATATTCTTTTTTTTTGTCAGAAATTCATCCGACGGTCTGATTGTCAGTCAGGAGAGGCATTGAGGCTTCTCATTTACCCCTGAACTCTTCACAAACAATGCATGACAAACGACACACGACAATGCTGAAATTCAACCCGATTCAAAAAAAGAGTCGCACAAGTCAGAATTCGGCTTAAAATCGGATGAAAATCACAGTGTATTAAAGATAATTAACAGAGGTAGCTATGTTTGTTCCCATCAATCGTTGCACAAGATAAAGGTGGGGTAAGCGATTTCTGGTAGCCAGTGTTGACATTTGAAATCACCAAAACAAACACGCCCCTACCCCAAAAGGGTCTCGCCCATATTTTGATAGCTTCGCCCCACACATATGTACGCAACAACGATTAGTTCTGTGAAACAAAGCAAAACCAATGTTACACCGTGTTTACACCGGACGAGAGTGGCGCGAGAGTCGTGACAAAATACTATGGAGCTCACTATAATCAGTGACGCTGTCTACACCAGAGTTATAAATACATATCTATAGTCTACACTGGATGCGGTGCTGCACGACATGACAAATCCCAGACAAAAACCTGCTGCTGCATTCTATTCATGACGTATTGACACAAATTTCAAATGATTTTCAACGGTCGCTTTGTCACGTACAGTGTACTAGACAGACTTTAGTTGCGGTGCAGATGCGGTGCACTCACCTATCGAGAAGAAACAAAGCAACCTCAGTGTTCGATCGCAGGCCTTCCGCTCCGAAAGCTGATCCGATATTTACACGGGTCCTACTTCTTGCCTTATTGCCTTAAGCCTTCTTTTGTTCCGCAGACGTTTTCCTCTTTTGTTTTTTATCCTCCATCTTTATCTTTTTGTCACTCAGCTCGCTAATGTGAGGACTGAACGCTCTCTCCTCCATATCATGAGTAGACACGCCCCTTACTGTTGATTGGCTACAAGTTTGTTTTGCTAGTGGGCCCGAATCAGTTTTCTAAAGCGTTTTTGAAAAATTGCTTACCCCACCTTTAAGGTTACGTATGATGACGATGCTTTCCCGGAACACATAGAGATTGCATTGCAGCCCCTGCAGTTAGAAACAAAAAATCTTTGTATGGAAGTACAAAGTACAAGTTTGTATGAGAGCACTCATATTATCTACATCTCTATTACAGATCAGTGGTAACACTGTTTTTATACAGTCTATGTGGTAATGGCTAATTTGGATCACCTCAGGATTTGTGAGGCACCTCAGCCAATCATACAATGGCAGTGACGACAGTGGCCGGCTTTCACAGTTCTACGACAGTTAGTAACAGTTTACATTGCACAATAACAAAAGCGCAAATTGTTGATCCCTGCAATTTAAGAATAGATTTTATTCTGTTCATTTAAAAAAAAAAATCATTGGCATCATTGCATCATTGGGCATACATTACATTGCTACTAGAAAGCTATAGAAAGAATACCTTTTTATTTATTAAAATATTTATATTTTTACCTTTTCATTAAAAAGCATTATATCATCATCATACGCAGCAGTCACAAGTCATTACATTTCAAGTGTATTTACTGAAACTTGGAAGCCATAGAAAGAACATATTTTATTGCATGCTGTTTAATTAAAATAATGTGATTGAAGAAATTTTCACTTTAGCAAGTGGAATTAGCTATTCCGGCTCCACCTGAATTATCAGTGGTTCTGCTGCAGTGGAGAAATGTGACAATATTTCTAGCTCAACAAGAGAGTACTCATACTCTCTCTTTTCTTCCACCTATATCTTCTGGAGGGCTCTGGTACATTCAATGATTGGTTGCTGTACTGTCTTGCCAAGCTCTTAGAAAAAAGATGCTTAGGTGACCAAGACATTTGCCCAGTAATGTCATTTTCATATCAATTACCAAACATTAGATATCAGCTAATGAATATCAATGCTCTGATATATCTGCTAATGATATGAACTAGCAAATATTACTTGCCACACTGAAAAAAGATAGTATAGAATCATTCTTCAGTGAATCGGTTTGCCCTGTTCACAAAACTTAAGATTCGTTTTGGCAAAGATATAGCACAGTGAGCACTGGCTAACGTAGCTGTGAGCCTAAAGTGGCCTGCATATGATGTCACAAATGTGGCCCAGTTATCCTCAAACGCATCTGGGCCAGTTTTGGCAAAGATATGGCACAGTAAGCACTGGCTAATGTGGCTGTGAGCCTAAAGTGGCCCGCATATGATGTCACAAATGTGGTCCAGTTATCCTCAAACACATCTGGGCCAGTTTTGGCAAAGATACGGCACAGTGAACACTGGCTAATGTGGCTGTGAGCCTAAAGTGGCCCACACATGATGCCACAAATGTGACCTAGTTATACTAAACCGTATCTGGGCCAGTTTTTGCAAAGATATGGCACAGTAAACACTGGCTAATCAGAATCAGAATCAGAATGAGCTTTATTGCCAGGTATGTTTACACATACGAGGAATTTGTTTTCGTGACAGAAGCTTCCACAGTGTAACACAGGGGTGCCCAAACTCGGTCCTGGAGGGCCGGTGTCCTGCAGAGTTTAGCTCCAACTTGCCTCAACACACCTTGTCTTTAAGTTTCTATTATGCCTATTAAGATCTTGATTAGCTGGTTCAGGTGTGTTTAATTGAGGTTGGAGCTAAACTCTTCAGGACACCGGCCCTCCAGGACCGAGTTTGGGCACAACTGGTGTAACAGAATGACAGTGACAGAACAAAAAAACACAGATAATAAAAAATAAAAATAAATAAAAAATAAAAAATAGAACAAGTAAATAAGGAATAAAAATATACAAATCGACAATTGTATGTACAGGTATATAACAATAGACAGTTGTATGTACAGGTATATTATGTGCAAACTGAAATGTAGACTGAGTATGTGTGTTAGATAAATAAGTGTATGAGTGAATAAATAGCGTGTGTTCCACAGTTATTGTCAAGTGTTTATGAAATGGATTGCCTGAGGGAAGCAACTGTTCCTGTGTCTGGCCGTTCTGGTGCTCAGAGCTCTGTAGCGTCGACCAGATGGCAACAGTTCAAAGAGGGAGTGTGCTGGATGTGAGGGGTCCAGAGTGATTTTGCCAGTCCTTTTGCTCACTCTGGATGAGTACAGTTCTCATTTCTCTGGATGAGTATAGTTCTCAGAGAGAAGGGAGCTCTCCATCTCCAAAAGAGAAAGAGAGAACCCCCCCACACACACAACAACACACATGGTCCCTTGCAAACAAACACATCACCAAAACAGCGCAGTTATTGCAATTTAAAAATAACATTATTGGATGCCATCTGCCACTTCTATTGTGATATTGCACAAATGATCAAATGATTGCAGTTTCAAGAAAAGCCAACTATTGTGAAGGAAAAATTTGCATATGGCTGTCAAAAACAGAAACAGTCAAAACACCCACAACCTTCATCAGAAACTTATTACAGCAAATCAATTTGAGGGCAAGTGCTGCCAGAGGAGAAATATTTCATATAAATGAAATAAGAATTAAAAAATCTCTAGATTTTGGGGTAGATTTGCCAAAACATCTTTGATGCCACAGTACTTTAAATGAGGAAGAGCTATGTCTGGATAAAGCTGACAGCTTGACAGTGATTCAAAAATCCCTTTTAACCATTCAGCAAATCTGTGTGTGTGAGTGTTGGTTTTGCCTGAAAGGGTTGAATAGAGTGGGTGAAATCTTTTAACACACACTGTGACATAATACATGCTAATAAAAAAAACAGAAATGACAGATTTGACATCAATACACAACGATTTCAAGAGACTGAAGAAAAAACTGTGGAATGAAACTGAAATGAAAAAAATAAATTACACTATTATTATTATTACTTAAATTCCATGTAATATGGGTCGTCTTCCGCCATTTTGGAGAGTACCCAAGAACGTAATCGACGTAATCAGCGCTGTTTACATTCGGAGGAGAAAGCGCGCGCATGAACGTAATCAGCATTATTTACGCTTAGGGGAAAGCGTGCGTATGCAGTGTGATACTCTCTAAAATGGCGGAAGAGGTAACTCGGGGGAGAAGAATTGTTGAATAAATTGTTATTTTTGTTTTCTTTGTGCTCAAACAATATTCTTGTAGCTTCGCAAAACTGAAGTTGAGCCACTGATGCCACATGGACAGTTTTACCGATGTTCTAACTACGTTTCTGGACCTGGGAACATTACAGTTGCGTTGCTGTCTATGCAGGGTCTGAGCGCGCTTACATTTCATCAAAATTATCTTAATTTGTGTTCCGAAGATGAACGAAGGTCTTACGGGTTTGGAACGACACAAGGGTGAGTAATTAATGATAGAATTTTCATTTGGGGATGAACTAACCCTTTTAATTGATGGGCTGGAGTCATGTGGATTGTGTGTTTTTATTAGCTGTTTGGACTCTCACTCTGACAGCACCCATTCAACTGCAGAGGATCCATTGGTAAGCAAGTGATGTAATGCTAAATTTCTCCAAACCTGTTCTGATGCAGAAACAAACACTTGGATGCCCTGAGAGTGAGAATATTTTCAGTAAATTTTCATTTTTGGCTTGTTTTTGTTTCAAACACCATGTAAAGACTATGGAACATAAATATATTTATCACTCAGTTCTATGACATATAGTCCAGTACCAGAGTACTTCTTGGTCCAGTCTGAGAGTGACGACTGAGTTTATTCAAAATTATGGCCATCGTGGTGCAATTTACACCTGCTTAGTACTACCAAACGGTCATTTATGACTGGTTCTCCCATGATATATGGCAACAATCTGCAGCATGTCATGTGATTTATGGCTCTATAATCACAGCTGTGGCTTTAACCCAATTAAAAACCAGCAAATTTTAATAAAACCATAGCAAAATACAACAAACGTCTACTTCACAGATCAATAAGACTGCATCAAAAAGTGCAATAAAATTTAACAGTGGCTAACAAGGTCACAATAAATGCACAGAAAAAGAACAATTTCACTCTTTTGAGACACGAACACAGAACAGATCTTTAAAACACAAGCAAAAGACTTCAGACTTTAGATATCAGTGTAATGAGGAACCCTTCAGAGATGATAACAACTACTCCACCATGAACATCTATTGAGGATGCCACATACCCTAAAGGTATTAGATCTGTGCTGAAATGTACTCTTCCCTTGCTCAATTAAATATTCATTCATGAAGAGCTTTTCTTGTTAATTACAGATCTGGCTGGTGTTTGATTAAAATGGTAGCAAAATCTTCAAAATGTTGCCTAGTGTTAAAAACTTTAGTATCACAATGGTGAGATTTTATTCTGTAAACAAGAACACTGATGTTAGAAGCCAGAGATCATACCATCCTTCCTCCTTTTTTGATATGGACCAATCCTGAAAAGAGCAGAACAGGATGGCAGCAGATTCATTAAGACTGGAGTAATCTATCACATCTCAGAATATTGACAGTAGTAGTAGAGAAATGGAAAAGTGATGGAAAAGAAGTCTGTTTTCACTTCTCCAACTAAAACTCATTTATCTGTTCAATGTGATCTAATGTGAACCTAAAACCTTGGATGAAGATGTGTGAGATTTTACATTCAATTTAAGACACAGAAAACGTGAAAAACACACATAAAGCAACTTGACAGACATGATGGAATTATTACCAGCATACTGGCAGCAACCGAATGTGTCAAGAAATCCTCCAAATAATGGGGACCTCAGTCTTAGCTTCTCAATGAAGCCGTCCAATCGTGCTTTGTAACATGACTGGAGACAACCAGAGCATCTCAACCAAATTATATTGCCAGTAGCCCATGAAGAAACCGAATGCGACATCTGTCACGTGATGGCGTCCGAGGAGAACTCTAGAAAAACCAACAAATGTGGCCCAGAGCAGGACAAGAACGCGGAGTGGGGCCGCCAGCACCAGATGGGCCAATAGAAAGCGGGCGCACATTGCAGCACGTGTGGCATGGCCTGATGGGAAGGAATAGCCATCCACAGAGAATGTGGCAAACATGTCCATACGGTTATGGGCAGGACGTCGCCGCCGCACTACAGCCTTCATTACGCCGACCAGGACCAGGTCCAGAACCAAGGCTGAAAAAGAAATTATGAAAACATATGAAAAACTGGACAACTGAGAAATTGTTGAATTTGACTGAAGTCAGGCAAACTTAAATATTAAGGCCAGTTCACATAGCATCGACAGACGCAGACCTAGCCAACAGTCATTGCAGTATGACATTTTCCAAGACCCAACAAACAACCAGAAAAACAAGGGCTGATCAACGGCAACAGGAGTAACACACTGATCCGACAAAACCTGATGAACATATCTGTTGCAGTTTGTCTGCATCTGTTGTGCAGTGTGAATGGGCCTTTATAGGATGCCTTAATATTTTTATATTTAATAATAGAGTTTTATAAACACTTATTTTCCAACAGCAGATTTTTTGTTCTGAATTTTTAGACTGCAAATATCCACTTTAAAAAAAAAATAAAATACAGCTTCAAGTTTTCAGGATGAAGAAGAAATTCAGAATATCAAAGAACATCAAAACAGACTGGGCCAGCTGAGCAACCAGAGCAGACTGGGCTTTTCAAAAAGGCGGGCTTTAAAGACATCAAAAGCATTTCAGGCAATGGGTTTTTCTGGCACTTTGTTTTAATGCAAACCCATTTTTAAAGCAAATGTATCACTTGTGTTTTAGAAGTATAAATTGCAGTAGGTCCTGTTGATGGGAACCAACCATTACCAATTATGGCCAACTACAACTGGTTACACATTTGAGATTTTCCCACAGTGATGAGTGGAAAGGTCTTTTCACAATATTTTATGACTGATTACAACTGCCCCTGAACACAATGTGTTGTGATTTCCAGGATGAATGAAATGTTTAATAAAAGATGTTAAATTAGGCGAAGAAGCTGTAGCAAATTACCTCTGGAAACTGACCAAGCATTGATGCCAGGCCCTGTGCATATCCGCCTGTTTCATTAACAAGCGGAGTAAGCCATCCAGTTCAATCTAGTTTTAAAACCTGTCAACATTAATGAATGGAATGTCAAAGCAACAAGGGAGTCAGTGTAATAACACAATTGCTGTAATGGGATTAGTAAGTGAGTGATTATCTCTCCATTTATCCTCTGGAAATACTGCTGAGAATCATGATAAATATGTCTGGATCTCTCTGCAGGAACAATCAAGAAGACTGTTGCATTTTAAACGGGATGCCAATAAGCCACATCAATAATGGAAATCCAAAATAAACGGAAACCTGCCTCATCTGCAGATACACCAGTGGGTTATGATAGGAGTCATACATCAAAGAAAATGAGCCTTAAATAGGGCCAGAAAAAGTGGAGAAAATGTATAAGGAATCAAAGCCAGCCTAAGATTGATATTAGCTGTGCTGACAAAACAAACGGGCAGATGGAGATATATGGACGTCCATGTCATGATTTCAAAGAAATGGTCCAGGTTCAGTAAAGTTGTTTAGTTTGCAGTCTTAAAATCAGGAAATTGACATTTGATGTTCCGATTGAAAATTTCTAATACATTTTTCGAATGACAGTTTTAGAGTTAAGGCCTGATGTTGAAATTACTTAAAAAAAAAATTTTTATTCTACAATAAAATTTTTTTTTATATAAATATATACACACACACACACCTCAGGAGTGAATTCTGATCTTAGCAGCTAAATTATTTAGAATAAATTGATTCATAAAAACGGACATATATCATGCAGACACAACGCAATTACAATGCAAATCTATGATGCAAGGCAGTGCAGCAAGAATAAACCTTAAAATACAGTTTCCAAATTATAGCCACAAGACTTCACAATACATCACAAATATTTTGCCCACCAACACTGTCTGTGCAAAATTTTATCTGTTTTTAACCTCATGGTCACGACCATGTAAACCCATTAACTTTCCCATGATATGCACAAGGATAACAGTAAAAAACGGTTTACTGAAAAATCTACTTACAGGAATGACACATGTAACTCATAAAAAGCAGAAATTCATCCATGCACAACCAGTGCTGCGACAAGGCTATTTAGACTTTACATCACAAATAACACATTTTGTACAGAAGAATAAACAAAAAGCATCACATTCTTATTTTGAACACTAGGAACACCTTACCCTACTGAGCAACACTGCAAGAGCATCATTACCGAGTTAAGCTTGATTTACTGGGGCCTGGGGACTCACAGGGGGCCGCAAGAGAGTGCAAGGGGGTCGGTGTAAAAATCAGCGTAAAATCTGTTTCCCCCCCCCCCCAAATAAACAAATAAAAGGTTAACTAAAAATTTGTCTAAATATATAAATTTTATTAAAAAAACTAATTAAAAAAATAAATAAATAAATGTAATTAAAATAAATAAATTGATTAAAATAAAAGTGGACTTAACTACTTAACTAAATCAAAACTATGGATTAGAATAATTGATAAAAGTAAATAAATAAAATGCATTTTGATTTACTCAATACATCTAACAGTACAGTAACGTACCATTTTCTGCAACAGTAGAAAAACGCAATGTAACAATCAAACCTATATATTTTACAAATAACATTTTACAATAATTATATAAATTTTACACCATATTAATAATATATAGCCTTTTCAATTTTAGGAAAAAACTAATTAAAAAAATAAATAAATGTAATTAAAATAAATAAATTGATTAAAATAAAAGTGGACTTAACTACTTAACTAAATCAAAACTATGGATTAGAATAATTGATAAAAGTAAATAAATAAAATGCATTTTGATTTACTCAATACATCTAACAGTACAGTAACGTACCATTTTCTGCAACAGTAGAAAAAATGCAATGTAACAATCAAACCTATATATTTTACAAATAACATTTTACAATAATTATATAAATTTTACACCATATTAATAATATATAGCCTTTTCAATTTTAGGATGGGGTCCCTTGCATGAAGACGATCATATTTGATGGTCCGTGCAATCTAAAAGACTGAACACCCCAACTATGGCACACTAATTTTGAAAGCGACCTATTAAAGGGGTCATATGATGCGATTTCAAGTGTTCCTTTCTCTTTGGAGTGTTACAAGCTGATTGTGCATAGATAAGATCCCTGAAGTTGCAAAGACTAAAGTCTCAAAACCAAAGAGATCTTCTTTATCAAAGTTAAGACTCTGCCACGCCCCCCTAAAACGGCTCGTTCAAACACGCCCCCACATGTCTACGTCATTATGTGGAAATATTAGCATAATGCTACACAAAATAATGATCTTTAAAAAAGCATCATATGACCCCTTTAAATTAATAGCAGCAGTTAAAACGCATTACCCATGAGCAGGTTCAGCATGACCTCCTGACCGGCGGCACTGTCGCTTTTGTACAGGCAGTACGCGGCACCGGCCAGCCACGGGATCCCGTGTCCTGAGATCTCGACGAGCTTCATGAGGGGTCGCACGCTGCCCCAGGACGAGTCCTCACAGGCGCACACTCCGAGCCGCTTCGACAGCCACAGGTCGATGGCCAGCAGAGAGCTGAGCGCGATGCCGACGATAGACGGGTTTAGTTTCATACAGTCTTCCTCCGGTAACTGCTGCCCGCCGGTGGAAGAAGTGGACGAACCCGAGCCGCGTCGTCGGTTGGGGCTCTCGGAGGCTCGGAGCCGGGCCGTGGTGGGATCAGAGCCCTGCCTCTGCAGCAGCTGCGGCGGGGGGGGAGCTCGGCTTAGAGAAATGAACTCGTAGCGCCCGTTTCCACCGGTACACGGAACACTGCCGCTGCTCCGCGCTTTAGGAGAAGGCATTTTACTTCCCAAATGCCAAGATAGGCTAGTCTGATATTATTGGAATGTCTTCTGTTTTATAATATAGCTTTTGGATGTCTTTTTTCAGGTCATAGTTTTACAGGTGATAACAGAGAACTCTTCTCACTGGACTACCGCGCAGCGCCATCTTTAAAGGCAGCTCTCTGCGCAATGCACACTGCTTCTTCTTCTTCTTCTTTTGGTTTTATGGCGGGTTGCGAACCAACTTCATTAGGTGCATACCGCCACCTACTGTGATGGAGTGTGAAGAAAACGTCCCATTTCTCACCTAAATCTTAAATTATTTTCATTATTCCACAATTCTTAAGAAATCTCATGATTTCACTTATTTGTTTTCCTGCATTTGGACCATCATTCAGAATACTACTTAATGAAAATTCTTTAACCTCTAAGGATTGTAATTCATCTTTAAGTCCACCCCTTTCTCTTTCAAATGCTGTACATTTCATCATAACGTGCTCCACTGATTCCTCTGTTAAACAAACATCACATAGACCAGTATTATGTTTCCCTATAATGTATAGTGTTTGATTAAGATTTGAGTGTCCTGTTCGTATACGTGTTAAAATGACTTGTTCCCTTCTACTTATGTTATGAATGATTTTTCTTCTTTTTATACTCCTTTGTACTTTGTACAATGCCTACCTGTTTGACACGAGTCCCAGTATATCTGCCATACAATACTGCATGCATTTAATATGAACTGTTTTCCTTCTATTCTGCTGAGTGCAATATTTATACTTGGATCATCCATATTTAAGGATTATTTAGCCATTTTATCTACCTCTTCATTACCTTGAATTCCCACATGTGCAGGTACCCATATAATATATTTTTTTGGCGTGTTACATCCTGTGTGCATATCGCCACCTACTTTTGCTGTTATGCAGTCATGGTTTATTTATAATCAATTTCTTCCTTGTTTTTGCTCTTCCTGTTCTTACACACGAATATACAAAAATATTCCTACTTAAATAATAATTATTCGATGCTCCATCCCATTCCTTCTCCCCAGGCTCCACCTGGCACTGCGTGTTCAGCTCCTCCAGACTAAATCCGTGGTCTCCTGAAGATCCAGAATATAGAATAGAGCATCCGCATTCTATTTTTAAATCCTTTCATTTAACCCAGTAGTATATATGTATTTTATTAATATCCTGTATCCTTCTCTATCTCTGTTAAACTCATATCCTAATAAGTATTCAAATCCTTATTTACCTTTTTTGTTTAAATATGATATTAGTTCCTTTCTTTCTTCATCATACCTTGTACAATTATATATTACATGCTTCACTGTTTCTTTCTCCCCACAATTCCCACACAGTATCCTTCTCTATCTCTGTTAAACTCATATCCTAAGAAGTATTCCAAATTAAATAAATAAATCCTTATTTACCTGACCTTTTTTGTTTCAATATGATATTAATTCCTTTCTTTCTTCATCATACCTTGTACAGTTATATATTACATGCTTCACTGTTTCTTTCTCCCCACAATTCCCACACAGTCTCATGTATTCCAGTTATGAACAGTGAAGCGTTCAATCCCCGAGTGTCCAAGTCTCATCCTAGTTCATATAGCCTCTTCTTTTCTATTTCTACCACTTACACTTCTTTTAGTATTAACCATTTTTTTTAAATATTATATAAATGCCTTCCCTTATTATCTGTATTCCCTATGTCCTGCCATTCTTTAGTAATATTTTCCTTAATGATAGTTTTAATTTCACCTTTTACTTAAAGGAATATTAAAATCTATTACTTCTCTTTTTAAAGCATTTTTTGCTAATTCATCAGCAGATTCATTACCAGCTATTCCTGCATGTGCTGGCACCCAGCAGAATCCAACGGCGTCTTCTTTTCTTTGTATACGCCATAATAATGTAAATATTTCACACATCAAATCTTCTCTAGAAGATTGCCGAGTAATCAATGATGTTAAAACAGAAGCAGAGTCAGAGCATACCACTACTCTGTCTGGTCTTACGTCCTCTACCCATGTTAGTCCTATTAAGATAACAACCATTTCAGCAGTATATATTGACAATTTAGATGTTAATCTTTTAGTTATGGATATTTTAAAATCTGGAATATATATTCCTACTCCTGTAAGCCCTGTTTTGGGTGTGATTGTGATCCATCACTTTAGATCCATCAGTATAAATGTGTATACTTGCATAAAATCTTTCCTGCATATACTTATTTACATTATATTTAGTACTACCCATTTCCTCCCATTCTCTTTTCTTATCCAATATCTCTAAATCAATTTTAAAGGGGTCATATGATGCGATTAAAATTTTTCCTTTCTCTTTGGAGTGTTACAAGCTCCTGGTGCATAAAGAAGATCTGTAAAGTTGCAAAGACTAAAGTCTCAAATCCAAAGAGATATTCTTTATAAAAGTTAAGAGTTAACCACGCCTACCTAAAACGGCTCGTTCTAACACGCCCCCACATGTCTACGTCACTGTGTGGGAAGATTTGCATAACGCCGCCCAAATGTTCACGCAAAGAAAGAAGGCGTAACTTTTATTCTCGCTGTAGTATTGTTGACGCTGCAGCCATGCCCTGAAGACGCTGTGTGCTTCGTTGTGAAAGCGAAACTACTTTGTTTGGTCTTCCAAAAGAAGACGATATCCGCTTCGTCATGCCTAGAGCTGATCCGTGCTGGTCGCTGAGGGAATACATCAACTTTCACCGTGGACAAAGCGGAGTCCAGCCCGCCTCAGCTCACTCTATCCCGGCCTCAGCGCAAGCTAAGCCGGGGCTTCCCCTCACGCTAGGCCACTGTGTTTTCGTTGCCACTGATGAATCAAACGCGAGTTTTGGGCAGTGTAGAGTAGCACTTGTTGTTTGTCATTTCTCCGATCACAAATGCAGACAGAGTTTTATGTTTACGCGGCGCGATGCAATGCAACGCAACGCGTAAAAAGGCAGTATAAGTCTTTATAATCAGTAATTATGTCCCCACTGGATGCAACAAATGCCTCGTTCGTAATGGGTTTTATTGGATTTGTCTCGTCACGCCAGGACACATGGAAACCATAGACTGTACGATGGAAACACAGTATGGTAAGGGGCGTACCATTTCTGTCTCACGCTTGAGGTATTCAGCCAATCACAATGCATTGGATAGCTGGCCAATCAGAGCACACCTCGCTTTTTCAGACCGATGAGCTTTGTAAAAATCGACGCGTTTCAGAAAGGCGGGGCATAGAGGAGAAACAATAGTGTACAGTATGTGGAAAAGAATGTGTTTTTTGAACTTTAAACCGCATAAACACATTTCATTACACCAAATACACAACATAATGATCTTTTTAGCAACATCATATGACCCCTTTAACATCAGGAATTATCCATGTTGGCACCTCTCCCCATACAGGTGACAAACTACATTCTTTATTTGTTATCTGATATTTCTCTGCTAACTGATTTATATTCCATCCATATCCTCTCCCTTTGTTATTTGAGTATTCCCAGCAATTATTTAAAATATCTTTAGCTATATGTTTTCCAGAATAACTCTTTAAAGACAACCAATATACCAAAGACAATTTAACGCTCCTCAAACTCAATGGCATTTCATTTGCCTCTACTAATAATGCATCGACTGGTGTTGTTTTAGTTATGCACACTGCTTCTTCTTCTTCTTGGTTTTTAACGACATGCATTAGGTACCATTAGGTAAATGCACCTTTAAGTTGGTTTGCCAACCGTCATTAAACATCATAAGAAGAAGAAGAAGGGTGAAATTATTTTATGTATGTATAGAGTGAATAAGATAGGAATTAAGATATGTTTCCTGTGGGTTCCAGCACACGTGGGAGTGGATGGAAATGAGGTTGCGGATCATTTAGCAAAACAGGCACTGAAATGATCACATATAGAAATTATTATACCACTAAGCAAAGAAGAAGTTAAGGATACAGCAATAAAAATGAGATGGCAAGAAGTTTGGAATAAGGAGGAGAGAGGAAGACATCTTTATCATATTCAAAACCAAGTTGGGGTTGAAAGAGTTCAGTTTGGTAGTAGAAGAGAAGATACAATTATTACCAGACTTGGCATTGGCCATACTGCTTTACATTCTCCTCTATATAAAATGAATAAGCATGAGTCTGGGAACTGCAGTCTGCGTGGATTACCAGAAACAGTAGAGCATGCACTATTACGTTGTTCTGCTTATGATAATGAAAGAGCATTTCTGTTGGAAGAATGAAAAGAAATAGGGATAGAAAATAGTACAATTAAAACTTTGTTGAATAATGGCTTGAATCATTATAAAATATATAATGCTTTAATGACATTCTTAAAAAAGGTAGATCTGTTTAACAGGATTTAGAAGGGTTTAATTTTTTATTTACATTTTTTCTATTATTATTATTATATCATTTTTTATTTTTATTTTTTTATTCCATCAATGGTCCACACTCCAGCCCAGTGGGTGGCGGGAATGCACCTATCGTTTGTTTGCCAACCGCCATAAAACTCCAAAAGAAGAAGAAGAAGAAAGTTCAGTTTCAGCTGAGCAGAGTCTTCTGAGGAGAGTTCAGCAGCTCGCGGTATTTCTCATATTTACACAACTATCAGACACACTTTATACAGTCTGTTTAAGCCACATCTTACAGACTCATGTCTGTGTTGTTTTCATCCGCTTCAGCGCTAGAAGAGCTATTGTTAAATACATTAAAGAAATAGGATTAATCAGGAGAATTTCGGAATGTGTGTTTTTTTTATTTATTTTATTATTTTTATTTATATATATTTATATATATTAGTTGCTTATTAGTGCTCCACACTCCAGTCCAGTTGGTGGCGGTAAATGCACCAGAAGTTGGTTTGCCATCCGCCATAAAACGTTATTAGAAGAAGAAGAAGAAGAAGGGTTACTCGTGCCGATTTCAAGACCAGTCTGAAGGAAAACAGTCATGCCTGGAATTCTGTTAGGAGACGTGTTTCCTAACTTTGAAGCAGAGACTACTATCGGCAAAATACAATTTCATGAATTCTTGGGAAACTCGTAAGTAGCTAAATATGTTATTGAGCGAGCCGGTCTACTTCAAGTAATAAAACCCTGCTTTTAGTGCATGAAGATGCTGCCCAGGGATGCACTCAGTGTAATAGCACAAACAAACTATTGTATAATTCATAACTAGTATATTATGTCTATATTTTAAAAAGGGTGCAACATACAGAT